ATATATAAACTAGAACACCGCCAGGGGTGTTTTCCATGGTTACCTCTATTTAGGTCACATGGTTTGAATCTTTCATAAAAAGAACTGTTGCTGCAATCACTTGAACACCCCAAGCAGTGCCCCATATGCCTGACATTGTGTGTGTAAAAACAAAATAGATACACACACACACGTCCAAGAAAGCAAGAATGAAAAATAATGCATTGATGTAATAATGATTTTAAAGTAGATGAAATGATGATAAATATTTTAGAGTGGTTTAATAAGGCTTAATTATTATCTTTGAAACTAACATTAAAAGTTTCATTAAAATACCACACACAGACTCTTCTAATTGCTTTGTTTGTTCTAGGCTAATCATTATTTGACTGTTCCTGCACACAAGTTGGACTCTCCCACCCTTACCAGAGTTCGTGTGGGTTCAGGTGAGAGCAAATTATATTAATGTGTGTGCCCAGCACTTCATGTTATGTAATATGTGGGTTCTCCTAAATCCCACCTTATTCACAGTAGTGTGTGTGTACACGCACACGTGTGTTTGTACGCAGAGCCCCTACTTATCACTGGTGATTTTTGGTCCCAAGAGTGTCCTTGTTGAGAGCAATATGTTGGTCCTGACACCCTCCTTGTTCCCACTCTCATATGAACCCTGATTTTTCTCTTGTGCACTATATGGGCTTTGGATCTCTTTTTCTTTCAATAATATGCAGACCCAAAGGACTTGCTCATCTTCAGTAATATTTTGGCCCAACAAGCTTACTAGTTCACTTCTATATCAATATATGGACCAATTCACTTACCAGTATTATGTAGAGCAGAGTTGTCAAACTCAATTTCATCACAGGCCGCATCATTATGGTTGCCCTCAAAGGGCCGGTTGTATCTGTAAGACTATATAAATGTATCTACGCTTTATCATAATAAATAATTGCCTCTACATACCATTATTACTGGTTTTAGTAAGAACTTAATAACTAGCTCTGAAAGTAGAAGTCTAGTAAAAATGTCAATTAGGTGCCTGTTCAGGTTCTATGGTGGTCTGTGCGGGGGTCTATGCTGGGCTGTGCGGGGTTTTAAGAGGGCTCTGCAGTCTCATTAGGGGTGCTGGTCAGTCTAGGTGGGTGCAGGCAGCGTGGATCCACAAGGAAGGAGGCGATTGGCTGCTGGTGCTTTAAAGAGGCGTCGCGATTCACAGGAAGGCTGCCAGGACCTTGCTGGGGACCTCAGCAGCCTTCCTGTAAAGTCTAGTGCCTGTTTACAGTGCCGGCTTCGGTTTAAAAATGTAAACCGCCGGCATCGTTGCTTAGAATCGGGGCATTTTTCAGAGTTCTCATGAAAATGCCCAGTATCAGCACTGATACAGGTAATGCCACATCCCTAGTCAGTATATCCAAAGTGTTCTGTCGTCCTCTCTGCTGCCGACTGCTAAGACAAGGTGGGGTGGAGTCGAGGGGGTTGCTGCAGGAGTGGTGCGAGGGCCCGCAGACCTCTTGTTTGACACATGTGATGTAGAGCTTAGTGGCCCACTGAACCTGTCCCTTGTAATAGTCAATACAGTCCCAAATTGACAATATGCTGTATAGATTTACACTTGCTTGTTATGACCTAACCTGTTTCTACCGACCTTACATTTTTCTTCTTTTCATTAGACCCTGTTGCATATGATCCAAAATCGGATTCTGAAAATGTCCCTGTAATCACTATTGACCCAGCTTCACCTGAATCTGTAGATATTGTGGATGAAACCCAAGAGGAAGAAGATGAAGGTGGGATTACAATGGTAGCAAGAGAGCCACCTTCACCAGGGGCAGATGATGTGTTTGGCCCCAGTGACAGCCCTAACACCCAGAGGTTACAACGCTGTTTAAGTGATCCTGGACCTCAGCCCGAAGAGGACCAGCCTTTCCTGCCAAAGAAGGACTGATCCATAATTCTCTGTTGGACTGAGCCAAACAGCACTGAGACCTGTAAAGTAGTCCTTTGCCTCAATTTTACACTCCTCGCCAACACTTTACTTGTTTGCTTGAAATGCCTTTTTGCTATTTTGTTCTTGTTTTATGTTTCCGTTCTCCTCCTACATTCTCATTCGTTGTTTTTTTTCCATAATTTTTTTAATATATTTTATTTTATATTTCTAACCAAAGAATTATAAACTTGCTAATATTTTTTGGATAGTTTTTTCCATTTTATTGCTGTTTTATATACAAGGTGAAGGGTCTTTAAGCTGTTGATTATACTCCTCATACATGTCTAAACCAATGCAGTTTTCTTTCAAGCACTGAGCTCCTATAAAAATATCAAGCTAAGCCGAAATAGACAATTGCATGTCTAGGTCTATGGGTGGCTGGCATGGATAACTTGCATTACAGCTTCAAGAATGAGGCTAAACCCACTTTCCAACTGCAGATTTAGCTCATATGAATGTATAATAGGATTATTAATGCACCTACAGAAATGTACTCTTTACATGCACACCAGCAGTTCAGTGTCTGTACATCACCACGGTACTCCAGCTTCTTGATCGTTGTTTTGAAATGCATTCTTCCTTAGCCCCATTGGGTGATTGGCACGCTCTGTCACTGTCTGTAGCTAGATTCATATATTACAGACTTGTTAGAAAAGACACAGACTTTTCCTGCATCATATTTCTCCAGCAAACACTTCACAGCGCTGCCTCTACATTTGTAGAGGGCAATTGATTGTGCAATAATAGCGCCAGGTCTTGTGAATGCTTGTGCAAGGGAGATATGTGCATGCATCATGTGCCTTTGCTCTGCATACAGAAGATGTGTCTAGGTTAAGCAGTTTACGAGTGTATACCTGTTAAATGTGTGCAGAGATGCCTTTGCGTGCTCAGTTCTCCTGCACAGTGATTCTTTGCAGTCTTATTTATGGAGGTGATTAGCATTCTGGTATCTGTGAGAAATATAAAAGAGGTTTTTTTTTTATTTTGAAAATAGAAAATAAATGTATGGTTTTTAAACTCTGTGTTTATTTTTTGCAAAACATTGTATTAAATAGTAAACCCAAGTAATATAAGGTTATCTGCTGCTGATCTCCTGCAGCCACTTTTAGCTGCTTCTGGTCTACATGCACTCACTCCAGGGTCAACTGCTTCCAGATACTGCAAAAGAAAAAAAATGCATAGTGCCACCTCCATGTGAAGAATCGGTTATTGAAGAATACACAAATGGTTAAAATATACTCAAGTGTACGTTGAACAAACGCATTAAGGTACATAATCAGCTGTCACAACGGAACCTTCAAGAGGGGATTCCCTTTCGTTATACACGCGGTTGTCATCAGTCTCTCCTGACTTCCCTCGGTCGTTTCCAGATAGTGACGGCAGAGGACCATGCCTGTACAATGTGTGTCCATACAGCCATTTGTAGCTTCCAGCAAAGGGGGGCGGGGGGCGCATGCAACCTGGTGGCAACACATAATCACAAGTGGAAAGAGTTTGTCATCCTATAACAGGAAATGCTTAACTAGGAATCTTCATGGCAGAATGGCAAGTTTAATAAAAATTTATAGATTTCAAAAATGCAAACGTTTTTTGAAAAACCACTAACATGTTTCAGCTTATATGAGATCTTAGTGATTTGAGTTTTAGACTTCCTTCACTGAGCTATAGTGATTATTGGTTCACTAGGCAATAGTTCTCAAGATTGCTTTCATAACATAAACCTTCCCTTTTGTTTGTTCTAAAGGCTATAAAAAAATAGTGAATGCAAACTTCAGAGGGAAGGCATATAAGCATTCTGATATTCAGTTTCATTATTTGCTGATTTTTGTTATTTCCTCTGCCGATTTGGAACTGGTGTCAGATCATTTCACGGGCCACCCAGCTTCATCTGTTGTGAAATTTGACTTTGGCAGGCTGGTTTTGCCACTAGGACAGCAAGGCTATGCTGTTAGCTTAGGGTGTATGCTTCATATTGAATGACAGGAATATCACTAAACATGCCCAATGGATGTGTACATTTCGTAGAAAGAATTTGCTGACGGGATGATGGTTGAACAGTTATACAGGTAATGTCTTGTGTAAGACCATTCATTTCTGAACTTACATATTTGACTGCCAGCCACACCGTGGGATTGGACAAATACATCATTATTGATTAACTGTTGCAGCCCTAGTTTCATGTAATCGATAATGAGAATCGTTGTCAAATATTCTCATTATCGATTAGTTGATCGCGCACGGTACTGCAATGTCGTGCATTCCAGTGCCCTGCGATTGCAAAATTGTGCATGCAGTTTTATTCTGAAGTAAACTTTGCTTGTAACACTCCATTTGTGTATTTCATTTTAAATAAAAGATGGTATTTAATTTTTTTTTCCTTTTTAACCGATTAATCGAAAAAAATAATCCGCCAACTAATTGATTATGAAAATCGTTAGTTGCAGCCCTATATGAATTTGGTTTTGCACTAAAAACTTACCACAAGTTTCATGATTGTTTGATTTGTTTGTCTTTTAAACCACTTGCAGATTTTGAAATGGGACCTAAAAAAAGAACTTTAAACAACAAAAAAAAACTTCAAGACATATCTCATTCTTGGGCAAACCTCTTAGTTGTAACGAAACCGGAAGTCAGGCGGTCGCAGAACTCGATAAGTTCTCAGTGTCGACAGATCACCGGCCCAATGGACTCCCGCAAGACCCGGAAGCCGGCGGAGAGGCGAGTGTTTTCATTACTGGTCAAAATAATTTTAATCGATCAAAAATTTTAACGATTAATCGGGTAATTAATCATTAATTTCTGCAGCCCTATTAAATTCCAATTCCTATTTAACATTAAATTTTTGTTTTGTTTTTTATATTAATTTTTTTTTTTTTTTTTAGTGAAATATATTTCAAAAGTCACTTTAAACAAGTCACTTTTATGCACTTATTTTAAAATGAACACTGTTAAACATAGGAAGAACTTTTTTTTCTTCCATTTATTACATCTTTTTGCCTATAGACTAAGGCAACATTCACAGTATGCGCTTTGGGGTTCCTGCACCAGGAATCCCAAATCCCCGGTTTAAATGCAGCCGCTGTCACCCGTTCAAGTTAATGACAGCGCCCACATCTGTAAGCTGCAATCGAATGTGATATGATTATGTATGATTTGGAATAGGTGATTGTCCATGGACACAGGATAGATGCGTCCAGGGGCAGTGATCTCTTCCAAACCGCATGTAATCATATCCTGTACGATTACATGTAGATTTCCGCTTACAGATGTGGCCTCTGTCACCCGGTCATTAACTTGAATTGATGACTGTGGCCGCCTCCTAAACACGAGATTTGGGATTTCTGCTGCAGGAGTCCCAAATTAAATATAAAGTAAAATATTTTTTTTCAAGACAACATTGCCAAAGCAATTTGGAAACCCCACCACCACCAAAAAATTGTGCATGGCTTTATATTAAGCAAAAACTGTTATTGCAGAATAAACAGGCCTAGAGTGGAAATGTTAAAATGACTCCATAAGGGTTATTAAGGCATGGGAATTAATACGTTAAAATGCCTGCAAAAGCTGAGGTAGACGGATGTTCCAAACCACACTACCATCTCTTTATATCTTAAAATGAGAACACCTAGAAGAATATCTGCTTGATGTTTAACTTTACAGTTATTTTCTACAAGCACGATCTAGCTATCTATCTATCCATCCGCACGCACACACGTTTTAAATTGATGGCACATGAATCCTGTGCACTAATCTGCTCTGTTGCAATGCGCAGTTGCTCAGTCAACTGCTTGAAAGTGATTGCAGGTGAACAAAGCTGAGTAATGACTGCAGTTACAAAAGGGAGGCATGTTGGTGACAAACCTGTATTTCCCAACTTCAGTATAAAGAAGTGAAGTTACTTACCTGGCTATGCTATCGGGCGGGGGTGTCTCAAACACAAGACATGCAATTACAAGTACTCTGGCGGCAGAAACACGGTATCTCAGCTGTGTAGGCAACTGTTTGCCTAGCGTTCAGGTTTAAATTGAAAATCTTGGAACTTGGTGAACCTACACTGGATTTAAAATTGGTAAACTTCTAGCACGAGTGACATGCATATGCTTTCAGATACCTTGCAAAGCATTTTGGGAGTCCTGAAACCTGGGGCACATTCATATTATATAATGCAGGGCTCAAAATGTCGAGTCCTGTGTTACTAGCCAGACCTTAAGAGTTACTCACCACCAGTTGCCCCACCTGGCCCAGCCTTAACTCTGCCAGGTCAGTGGTGTGACGCAAAATACAGAGGTCAGTGGTGTAAGGCCGAGTACAGAGACCAGCTGGGTTGACGCAGAGTACAGAGGCCAGCTGTGCTACGCACAGCACAAAGGTCAGCAATCTAACACAGCGCAGAGGTCAGCGGTGTAATGCAGAAAAAAGAGGGACTTACAGTGCACAGTTTATCTAATTCTTGTGCTTTCTTCCTCTCCTGGTGGTGGGGCAGGGTGGGTTGCAACGATGTTGCCTTCATGTACAGAGGTTGAGCCTCCCTTCAGGTCCCACACTGGAGAAATGTACTGAGGTTAGTGGTATGCTGCACAGTACAGATATCAGCAACAACGCAGAGGTCAGTGGTGTGACGCAGAGTACAGATGCCGGAGGTATGGCGAACAGTACAGAGGTCAGCGGTATGATGCACAAAACAGAGGTCAGCGGTATGATGCACAAAACAGAGGTCAGTAATGTAATGCACAGTGCAGAGGTCAGCGGTGTAAGGCAGAAAGAATAGGGACTTACATTTCACATAGCTGATGTGATTCCGGTGCCCTCTTCCTTTCGTGGGGGGGGGGGGGTACAACAATGTATCCTCCATGTCCCAGGTGTCCTGCCTCTCCGGCGCTGTCCTAGCCAGTAGGAGCTCTGCCAGCCTATAGCAGATGAGGTGGGTGGAGGAAGCTGCAGGAGCCGGAGTGAAGACAGCCGCATTGATTCTTCTTCAGCAGCGGAGATCGCCGTGTCA